CTAAGAACTTATGATGAGGGCCATTAACTAAATATTACAATACTCTTTAGAGATCTCCTTTATAATCATTCTGGTGATGGTAGGGAGTGTGGGCGCAGACAGGTTAGACAATGGATTGCGAAGTTTTGTCCCGACTTTCATAAAAATCAACTTCAGACCCCGGTGCAACTCTAAAACTGGACACAAAATCCTTTCTTCTGTCGTTCTGTAGGCTTTTTGGGGAACTCGTAGATCTTGACGGCAAAAATGGTAGTTAACCGAATTGGCTGCGATGAATCTATGTGTTCGTGTTAGAATGTTCCCGATTTTTATATCTTAGGTAGTTGTGAATAGTGGCGATGGAGTCAACATTTAATTCTTTGTAATTTGGTAATATGAGGAGGTTACGAACTAGTAAATCGGAGATTTGGATTCGGAACTGCCGAAATTTGGATCCAAAACTAATGTGCTTGATCGATGGCATTTTCGAAGCGATGTTGACCTCGTGGAAATCGTAGGAATAGGAAATTGATTCCCACAAACGGCGCCAATGTTCCGTGGTGGAATTAGAAATGGAGAAGATTGAGGAAGCTACGGTGGAGCGAAGCTTTGTAAATTATTCGTTGAAGCAACACCTAGGACCAAAGGTTGCGATTTTGATGCTTCTTGAATCAGAGACGTTGATCTTGAACTGGTGATGGTAATCTCTGGTACACTGGATCAAGAAGGAGATGTCTACATAGTTAACCCTCAAATGCTCAAGTCAATTTAAGATTCAAGATAATCATAGCGAAATTATAAATATTATGCACTTGAAAATTCCTTGTGAAGATATTTATACCTTGACCTCAATGGAACGAACAAGATAAATGAGTCTTATCTTGTTGAGCATTTGGCCAACACGAAACAGTCTTCGACACCAATCAAATTATATATTCAGAACAATTTCTTTATCTTATTGATCCATCTATCTAAATCAATAAAATAATTATAAAATTAAATTTTATAAGTTTTGATTTCCTTTAAAAAAATCTTCTCCATTCACTAATAGACAACAAACTTTCACTTAAAAATATTGAACATTATTGTTTATTGTTAATTGTTTATTGTTATATGTTTAGGACTTTAAACTCATTATTGAACATTATTGTTTATTGTTAATTGTTGTTTAAGCAACAAAAAAAAACTCTTATCATATCATCTAACTCCTCTTGAGTTATTTATATAATTCTAATCACATAATAATCCTAACATATTTAAAATTTATTTTCAGATAAATACATCAAATTTATTCATAGGTGTGAAAGCATTGACTCTCCATGGCATTACACAACATGTCAAGCAAAGCATATCGTGAACCCAACGTCAGCAAACACAACAAACAACATAACAATACAAACTCTCTAATTTCCACAACACAACTTCCACATTATAAAATGACACAAAGTTCAAATCATAAAATAATTCCTTTTATTCACCACCATTAATATATAAATATATACATGTCGTGCCACTTATTTTATTACATTTTATAATTTTTCATCTTTCGTCTTTTCATGATAGAAGCTGTCATTAGGAAGAGATTGATTTGGATAATTGTTTGCGTTGAGTTGAGAATTTTCTTCTGTAATTTTTTATGGTGAGTCACCACCTAGTTGAAAATAAATAGAAAAAAGCTTCATAATGATTCTCATATATTTTATATTTTAAAATTTTATCTTCCGAGGAAATCGAGGAAGAACCAAGTACGAGAAAAAGAGGTAATCTAATCAAATCAATACAAAAACATTACAGCTTTTGTACTATGATTGATTGGTACTTTTTTCTTCTGTTCTGTAATCATTTTTTGTTTTGTTTTTGAAAATGTTTGACTTTTGATTTGCCTACAGAACATGGATTCTTCATCTTCCCAATTTGTTTCATCAAGAAATATTGGTGTGTATGATCCTATGCATCAATTTAGTATATGGGAAGAACATTTCAAGACTAGTGGTGACTTAGGTGCATCTATGTCTTTGATTGAGGAGGCTGACATGAAGATAAATAATCAGGTTAGAGTGCAAGATTTTACCAAATTTATGTTCATGTCCTTTCATTTGCATATGAAAAATAAGGACTATTTTTCACTACTAATTGTATTCTTTTATGTTGTTAAGGATGCTTCTTATGGAGTATTAGGAACATCTATCAAGTTTGATCAAGAAGGTAACAAAATTACTAATAAGGTAAGATATTGTTATTAACTTGGCTGTCCATTTGATTTCGATTCTGATATTTATTGATCAGATATATCAGTTATTCAATGAATTTAAAAAGTGAATTTTCATTTATGACTGATCAAAGAAATGAAATATTATGTAGTTCAACATTTATAAGAGTGATCAGAGAATACTATATAGTTCAACGTATTCACGGTGTCACTGAGAATTCAAACATACATTTTATTTATTTATTTTTATGCGGGGACCTTTAGATACTAACTGCATGTGCAATGTTAAGTTTAACTTGTCATTAAATGCATAACTTGAAAAAAAATCTTCAATCACATTAGTTCAACTAAGATAATGTGATCAATTTTATTCGATTTTAGAGACCATTTTAAAATTTTGTTGATTGAGGAACCGATTTGTTCAATCGGTAACTATTTCACGGACTATATTGATGAATCGTCCTATTCTTTTTTTTTTTCGTGTCTCAAACTTTGTAGAAACTTTGAGTGATATTGAAAAGCATTTTAGAACAACATTTTGGACTCACTTTGCACTGCAGATTATAGGAGGTTCCCCTGCTTCCAAATTTTGGGTGTCTGGCTTGCATTTTTTATGCTTATAAGGTGATGAAAACATGCAGATGCAAAGACGTCTCGCGCAAAATCGAGAGGCTGCCCGTAAGAGTCGTTTGAAGAAAAAGGTTTGGAGTTGTAAACTTTATACATTCAAAGATGTAGAGTACCAAACTACCAAACAAACAAGCATTTGATTTTGCGACATTTCGTTACAGGCTCATATTCAACAGTTAGAATCGTGTCGCTTAAAGCTGATGCAGGTAGAACAAGAGCTTGATCATACAAGACAACAGGTAATGTGAAGCTTAGTTAATTCACTCCTATATCTACTTGTTTTTCCTACCCTCTTTTTTTAATCAATCTCTTGATGCAACAAAAATCCAGGGATTGTATATAGGTGGTGGATTGGATTCTAATAATTCGGGTTTTGCTGGTTCTGCAAATTCAGGTTTGTTTGTTATTAAATTCTGTTTCTTGGAATTTATTTGTCTCTACTAGCTTTAAGATATACTTGAGACTACGTTTGCTAAAAATAGCTGATAACTTAACTGTTACTTGTAGCTGATGATTGATAATTAATAGCTTATAGTAGATGATTGATTGCTGATAAGTTAATTTGAGTGTTTGGTAAATTGACGGTTTCACTAGTTTTCTTTGTATTAAACTCATTTCTCAAAAATTTTAATTCGCCTAATTTACAGAAATAGCAACTTTTAAGACGAAATATCAACACTGGGTGGAAGAGCAAAACAGACAAGTTTTGGAATTAAAAAGTGCTTTAAGTGATCATATCAGTGACATACAGATTGGGGAGCTTGTAAATGGCATCATGAATCACTATTTCAAACTCTTTTGCATGAAATCTGATGCTGCAAAAGTAGATGTTTTCTATGTTATAACCGGCATGTGGAAAACAACGGCTGAAGGGTTTTTCTTGTGGATTGGAGGTTTTCGCCCCTCTGAACTTTTAAAGGTAATGCTTACTTTGATCAACTTAGGGTTATGTTGGTTGTCATGTTTCTGTTATGGCATAATGTATGTTTTGATGAGAATTTCAGGTTTTGGTCCCTTTGATTGAGCCATTGACAGAGGAACAGCGGTTTAATGCATATAATCTTGAGAAGTCGTGCCAGCAAGCAGAAGATGCGCTCTCAAAAGGTATGGAAAAACTCCAGGGAATGCTTGTTGACACAGTTGCAGCCGGAAACTTCGTCGAAGGAGTTTACATTCCAGAGATGGCTACTGCAATAGAGAGGTTGGAAGCTCTAGCTAGCTTTGTGAACCAGGTGATTTATATTCCATTAACACTAATCTTACCGCATTAAAAAAGGTTAGATTAGGGTAATAGAAATTTGAACTCGAGTCTAATATTGTCAAACAGGCTGATCACCTACGACAGGAAACCTTGCAGCAGATGTGTCGAATACTTACCATACGTCAAACTGCTCAATGGTTGCTTGCATTGGGTGAATATTTTCAACGCCTAAGGAATTTGAGCAAACTTTGGGCCGATCGATCTCGAGAAACTGCTTAGTCTTCAAGCAAAAGATAGAATAAAATTGTAATTTTGACACCATGATTATGACCCAACTTATCAAGTGTCTACGTTCAAAACCGTGTCCAATGGTTGTTGGCAAGGCTGAGCCTTATGAAGTTGTAAATATGACTGCCCATTTATGATATAGGTGATTATGGTGAGTCTATTGATATTCATAATGTAAAATGTGTATAACTTAATGGTAAAGCTAGGTGTTTTGAACATGAATCAAGTGTTTCTTCCTATACAAGTTTCTTCTTTAGCATGCTCTAGAAACCTCAAAAATGCCACTTTTTCTAAATATGTTTTGAATTTTCTAAGAATGTAAAATATGATTTTCGAGCTTCAAATTTGAGTTTTTGATCTTTGACGAACAATCACAATTTAGATATAAAGGCAGGTGGGTCGGTGATAGATAAGCATGAGAAGTCGATCTTTCGAATATTGATTTAACACTACTATATAAATGATTGCAGCCTTTTGATGCCATAAAACACAACATTATACACATTAGTCCACGTTCAACTTATAAATGTACCAACTAAAAAAAAAAAAAAAAAACCCCCTCTTCCTAACAGTTGAACATTTCATGATTTGTAGCAACACTTTGTGGACATATGTTTACAAATGATGTTTCCTTGTAGCAATTTGGCTCCATTATTAAGGATTTTATTTGATGCTAGCAGGATCTTAATCATTTCACAACTTTGTTATAGAGTAGTCCAAGGCGTCCACAAGAAAATCTGCAAGCAAAGAGAATGATCAGTGGGATAATATTTTTGCTAGAAATTGCGTCTTAGATAAGAGAGCGAGGACAGAATTATACCCGCGTCATCTTTAGTGAAACACATTGGTGGCTTAATCCTGAAAACATTTCCATGCAGTCCTCCTTTCCCAACTAGAATACCAAGTTCTTCAATCCATATGCAAGTAAATGGTTAGACTATTTATTTGGAACATATATTGAAAAAGACAGCTTCATATGTATGATTAAATGATTATTGTCTCACCTCTAAGTTTTTCAAACAAGACAGCAGTTTCAGCCTTTGCCGGTGTTTTATTTTTTCGATCGCTAACAAGCTCTACCCCAAGCATTAAGCCTCTTCCCCTCACATCACCAATGACTGTCATATTATAAAATGATAACTATGAGAATAATCAACAAAATTGCAGCAACCTGAGAAACAGTCTTTTGTGCAAATACATACGAAGAAATGAATGAATCCAGACTGGAATCGTGTACAGAACACTTTCCTTATACAGCCTTCTCGAGTTTGCACGAGACAGATGAAAAATCGACATATTATGCCAACAATGTTCATAGAAAGTTAGAAAGGCCAGACATGCCATAAAAAACTGTATTGCAAAATTAACCATTCCGAAGGTGTTATATGAAAGTGACATACTGTCATGTCGTTGCTGAAGTGATCTCAAACGTTCAAGCAAGTGAGAGCCAATTTCAGCACAATGAGCTTGACGCTTCTCGTTATCCAGAACCTTGAGCACTGCAAGACCACCGGCAGAACATACAGGGTTCCCACCAAAAGTGTTAAATTGAATCTTCTGGGCCATTACACTTGCTATTTCTGGAGTAGTAACTACAGCTCCTAGTGGCAAACCATTGCCAATACCCTAATACAGATACAGATTAACATGATATACAATGGAGTAACTGTAAGAGATATGAAAGATAAAAAGCGGAACAAAATACATTAATAATTCCATAATGAAAATATAGTATAAATAAAAAAGTAGACTATAATTAAAAGACAGCAGAACGAAATATCTTGAGATAAAACATACGGAAAAATATGAAATGAAGCTTAAAAGATATTTGTGTATGTTTAAGGAACTTCCTAGAGACAATGTTGCCCTTCAAATGAATGAATAAGGTTCCAAGGTTTTACCGTTTCAGGAACAAAGTATTAAAAATATAAGATTTTCATGTATACCTTTGCCATTGTAACTATATCAGGAGTAACACCCTGTGTCTCAAATCCCCAATAATGGCTTCCTGTGCGGCCAAACCCAGTTTGCACTTCATCTGCAATGCAGACACCACCAGCCTTGCGTACAATGTCATAGACATGTTTTAAATACCCAGGTACCAGTTCAACTGCTCCTCCAACTCCCTAGAATAAATCATGCCGAAAAAGTAAATAAAAAGGCAGGCTAATCTAACTACCATTTTAAATATTGATGAACAAGATATATTATACATACCTGAATTGTTTCAGCTATAAATCCAGCAACTTTTCCTGAAGTGCCATAGTCAATATGGTCTTGGACATCTCTGGCATAACTATCAACATCTGCGCCAAAGACTCCACGGTATGGATCGGGGTTCATAACATGATGAATTTCACCCTAAAAGGTTCAAAATGATGTGAAACATAATTACATTATACTATTATTATCTATGATAGAAAAGTGAATATTCTCAACTGTATAATTGTTTGTTTGTTTCTACATCAAAAAATCGAACAACGAAAATGAACAATGTATTAAACAGATTTGAAGTTTTTCAATGTTCAAGACATCAATCAAGAATGAGAACAAATTTTGCTGATACAAAAATCACACTATAAATTTGGTTCTCAAATATTAAATTCAGTCTTCAAGTGAGTAAAACAAGTTGACTGTAATAACTTTTATTCAAATTTAAAAGTGGCATATGCAGGAGAAATTGAAGTATTATAATGAAATTCGCCGAGAGCAACAAACCTCTGGTATTGGATATTTCCAAGTGTTAAGAGCAGTGAGACCCATTGTACTAGAACTTCCCCCATGATATGCATTCCTTAAAGAAATCATACCAAGATTACCAGTATATAATCTAGCCATCAGCATTGCCAATTCATTCGCTTCAGAACCGGAATTTACAAAATAAACAACCTGCAAATCAAAACCTCATCACTAAATGAAAAACCTAATACATTATGAAATCAAATAGCGTGTTTCTCCAATGTAAAAACAAAAACACCATGCAATCATACAATCATATCATCATCAACATCATCATCATCATCATCATCATAATTCACTATGATGCTACAACACAACAAAACTGATAGTAAGATAAGATTGACAGCTCACTTTAAGATTTGCAGGCATTTTCGCGGCCAATGCTTCGGCAAAGTCACCTATGGCATGGTGTAGATAAATAGTAGTTGCATGCTGCAAAAGTTTACTCTGCTCAAAGATAGCATTCAAAATTACAGGATGACAATGTCCACAAGAAACAGTAACTATCCCAGCAAAAGCATCAAGGTATCTCCTTCCAGTCTCATCATACAGATATTGCATCTTCCCCTCCACAATATTCAGCTACAAACATTATTCAAATTCAAATTGCAATCAAACATCTATAAACATAAATAATAATAATAATAATAATAAATTCATTAAATAAAATGATGAGGATGATTATTGAAACTAACAGGTTTTTGATAGAAGTGGAATACGGAAGGACCGAGGAACGTTTTACGCTTAGCGAAAACTTGATCGGCGGTTGGCCCCGTATAGGGATGAGGCTGATGATCGAACGGCGGAATCTGCGGCGGAGTAGTGATTTTTTGCATGGCGGAGGCGGAGGCGGAGGCGGAGGAGGAGAAAAGCTTAGTTGATCTCTTGAGTAGAAACTGTAAAGCAGCCATGGTTGAGTTGAGAGTGATCAATTGGTTCTCTTCTTCTATGACTGAATGAGTGAAGTGAAGAGAATTACTGTATCAATGTTGTTTGAATAAAAAAAAGATTAGTGCATAATTTATAACTAAAAAAGATATCTGTATTGTTTTAATAAATCTCAATATATTTGTTAATATTAATTAATTAAATACATTGAATCGATTTAATACTTTAATTTTATATAATTATTTATCTAAGTTGGTGTTATTTTGAGTTGGAGACACTCTGGCATATGATTTTGTTTTGATTTTATCTATTTTGTAATTCCGTGGTCATGGTGGAGTCAGACACTCTGGCTGGCATATTTACTCGTGACTATGCATTTCCAAAAATAGATTTATCTGTCGCTCTTTTTTGGTTAGTTTAATGATTTAGAAAATATTTATTATTTAGTTTTTTTTGCACAATCTTCCTTTTTTTCTATTGGAAAGAATAAATTTTAATCTTTTATTATAGAAATATATTAATTTAATTCCTTTAGTTTAATGGTTTACAAAATATTTATTATTTAGTTTTTTCATGAATTTATTTTTTATTGGAAAGACTAAATATATTGATAAATAGGTGTGAAAACATATGATAGTTATATTTAATAACTTTATTCTCTTTTATATATAATTTGCAAGTAGTATATCTCACTAAATTATTCTCCTGTAACATTTTATCTACGAAGTATTCTTTCAAAAATGAAACGTGAAGCCTTTTTTTTAAATTTAAATTATTTAAATAATAAAATTAATGTGTAAGAAATAACATATAAAGTTTGCAATATTAATAAATAAAAAATTCAATTATTTCACTTACGCTTATATTTACACTTGTATTTTGATTCTTTTTCTTTTTCTCTCACTTACGTTTTTATTTTAATTATTTATTATTTTATATTAAATAATATTAATTTATTATGTAAATATTTATTTTATATTTAATAAATTATTTATTTCATATTTAAAATTTATTACATAGTAAATATTTAATATTTATTTAAAATTTTATTTCATAGTTAATAAACTATTTAATAATTATTTAATATTTAATAAAATATTAAATAATAGTAATTTATTATGTAACAATTTATTTCATGTTTAATTATTTATTTATTTCATATTTGAAATTTATTACACAATATTAATTAAATAATTATTTAAAAAATATTTATTTTGACAAGGAAAATTTAAAATCATTAAAATATATTTTTAAAATGTGATTGAATTATTTTAAAATATTTTTTAAACATTTTAAAATTTTAAAAACATATTAAATAAGTATGTGATATGGAAAAAAAATTCAAAATAACAAGTTGATTTGGTGGTTGAAAAACGTGGTCATTGTCAATGGCGGATCTTGTGATGAACCCATGGGTGCAGTGGCACCCTCATTTTTTTGTTAAATAGTATATACTAAGAGGAATAAAGTTAAAATACTAGGAAAAATATATGTTGTTTTGAAAAAAAATACTATTTTTTTTTACTTTAACTTAACTCTATTTTATGTGGTGAGACCAACAAACTTAGATAGTAACTAATAGTACTTAACATGTACATTATAATTAATTATACTGAGCGTGGAAAATCAAGGGGTAAGAAGAAATGATATAGTATTGAAAGTTTGAAAGGTGTAAGGAAGAACAAAGTTTTTTATTAGAAATAAATTTAAATGAAAAATTAGATAAATTAATATAGTTAATAAAATTAAATAAAAACTAAGATTAAAAAATTAAATTAAATTTTAATATGAACTTTGTAAATTTTGAGGTACATTCTCATCTTAGATTTGATTTTTAAGATTAAATATAATGAAATATTAATGAAAATTATTAATTTAAATCTTATTTAACACTCAAAATTTGTTTATTATTTTTATTAGCGATGTTTAAAAGATATAAATTTTAAATCTTGATCTTATTAATAATTATCATTTGTAAGAATGAAACATAAGAGAATATAGTTATTTATTATAAGTGATTTCTATAAATTTTAATCAAAATATCTTTTATTCAGTATTTGTGACCGCGGCAAAATCTGCTAATGTCATTGTAGAATGTTATTGATTTTAAATCTTATTTAATATGTTTTTTCTTTTTGTATGTTTTAAAATCTCATAGATTTATAGTTCAAACTAATTATTTAATAAATATTAAGTAATCATGTAATAATTATTATCTAATAAATTTTAAATTTGAAATAAATAATTATTAAATATAAAATAAATATTTAAAATAAAAGTGTAAGTGAGAATGGGAGAGATAATTTAAAAAAAAATATAAGTGAGAGATAAAAATAGATAATTAAAATAAAGATTAATAGTTATTTTCGCTTCACTCATGTAATATAATCGATATTTGACTTATTCTTTTTTAAATTAAAAAATTGATTACCTACCGCAATTTTTTAGATATTCTTTAAACGTGTAAAAATATACTCTTTAAATATGTAAAAATGAAAGAGATAAATTTTATAAAAAAATTACGAAAAGTAATATTTACATCTAAGAAATAAAAAATTTAGAATTTTTTCAAAAAATATATTAAAAAGGATTTTAAAAAGAGTAAATTAAAACACGGAAGTAAATATATTTTTATTAATATTGCAAACTTTGTAGGTTATAAATATATTTTGAGGGATAAGTTAACCAACAAAAACAAGCAGTCCAATTGATAAGAGTTAAAAAAAAGGTGTGACATCATTTTTTTCTAATGATTGAGTTTTAAGGAAGACTGACATAAAGGAATCTAAAGATAAAATTCAAAAAAGTACTAGTAGTAAATTTAAAGGGGGTCTCGTGACATGGACAACAGAAACCTTGTTACTGTATCCTTAAAATCTGTGCACTCCTATTGTCGAAGCAACCAAATTATCATAACACCTTTTAAGTTCAAAATTACTAAATAGTTAAGAGAGTAATTGAGCTCAAGTGATTAATTAATTTCTCCTAAAAAACAAATCACTTGGAAAAATTTCTGAAAAACAAATTGTTTGAAAAATCTTAATTCAATTTTTGGTAGGTACAATGTATAGTCAGACCGTACATTTGTTTTGATTTCATATAACTTGCGAGTAGGAAAGGAATCTATTTTGTACCGATGACATTTTGTGAACTGTATTCATCTTGTGAAGGAGAGCAAATTAGCTATTTACGATGCGACATTACTCGTGACTATGCAAGTGGACCTTCCAAAAATGTTCCACAAACTATATAAAGTATAACCTACGTTTATTTGTCCCACTTTTCTTTTTAAAAAAATTCTTTCTACACTTAATTATTATTATTATTATTATTTTCATTAATAAAAAATCCAAAAAAATACTTATATTTTATTATTTATATTTATTTAGTTTATTTTTTCATAAAACTAAAAGAGCGAAAACATTTTCTTTAATAAATTAATTTCTCTTTTTTTAAAATACTTAGATAATAAATTTTAATTATTATTATATTATTTTCTTGTAAATTAAAATCAATTTAGAAATTAGGATCTTTTATTTATTCAGTTTTATTTACTAATTTAATTAAATTCACAAAAACCCTAAAAATTTGTTTCCTTTAATTTCTTTTATTAACTTAAATATTAATTTTCTTATTCTTAGTTAATTATTTTACTTAATTAGGTCAAAAAACCCTTTTCTTGAAAACCAAACAAAAATCACATTTCTTCTTACATATTATATTTTTGCATTTTTATCTTTATTTTTGTACAATTTATTCAAATTCAATATGGTTGTAATAATTTAGATTTAATTTCTTGCAATTCCTCATTTGTAATTTGTACACCCCCTCCCCTAAATCATGTAATAGTTTGATATTTTTATTTTCCGCAATTTAAATACTTTATATAGAAATGCTAGTAATTAGGAGGTTGTATGGAAAAATTAAAACCAACAAATAGCAAACCCTAATCAAGACAAATCAAGCATGTAAATCAATACACTTGCACCCTTACACCCTTAGAGTAAATCCACTTGGTTGCCTTACAAAAATGGACATATTATGCATGTGAGGTATCTTAGCAAAAACAAACAAAATACAAGATCATAGTCCCTCGATGGCGCTATCCATGTTGTCTTTCAAAATGATCTTAGTCTCTAAAGAAAAGGCTAAGATACCTTACAATATTGCTAATCATGGTTATACGATGACCCACGTCCGCCCCTTTTACATCCAAAGATAGGGTTACTTACCAAATCAATAGTAAGATAACAATGTCAATGGAAAGAGGAAATAAATATGAAAGACTTTTGAGTAGGTAGAATATTCCTAGTTACTTGCTCAATTTCAAAACAAAAACATCCTTGCTATTTTTAAAACAAACACCAACACTTTCAAAAACATCTTTCAAACTTGAAAACATTTTCAAAAGAACAAACACTTTGTATACATTATTACGAATGAGAATCATTACAAAGTTTTCCTAAACAATGACATATTTACAAAATACTTTCAAAAACCACACAAAGCACATTTTCAAACAAAAGCAAATGATCTAGCAAGTGACTAAGAGCCCATGGAAAACCATGGATAAAAAGGATGCTAATACCTTCCCTTTTTATAATCTACCCCCCCCCCCCCGAACTCAAGAAATAATCTCAAAGGTCTTTCCTGTTCTTTTCCACCTTTCTTTTTGGATAAAAGAAAAGTCGGTGGCGACTCTTGCTAACCGCAACATTTGCGATCAAACGCAAAACAACCAAGTCAGTTCTCCCACCGCATTACACTAATCATACTTAAACCCTTTTTCAAGGTAGCAAAACACAAACCAATCAAATGTGACATCTTTCCTTGAGGGTGTAAATCAAAACCTTTTCAATAAGGACATGATTAATTTACTTATGTACCTACGCGTGAGTCTCCAAAGGTCAAGCTGCGACATAAGGCGGAATTAACATTGTTCATAAAAAAACACAAAACAAACAAAACATGTTATCCGAACTACGGTAGCTCTGATTCCTCAAAAAGGATACATAGACATTGG